CCGGGGCACCTGTGGTTGTGGGGGATTTTTTTTACCAGGAAGCGGTGGTTTTTATTCTGTTTGAGACAAGATTTCACAATCCATGTACATGTTTGAAAAAGATTTTGCATGCGGAGGTGCACACACACACACATGCATTAGCAAAGTTTACTTTTTTTACATACAGACCTGCTATTTTACATATAATTTTACCACCCCACTTGCATTGTGACTTGAAGCAAAGTTTTTTTTTCAAATTGAGTGCTGTTAGTATTCTTACCAAATACAGAACTATGTGTAAAGCTGGTACATTTTGTGGTTCTCTCTACTCATTTTAAATTCTTTCTTTAATGGCTAAATTAAATGCAGAATAATGCCAGTACTAGTGGTATGAGTCATTCTGGTCACAGCTGCACACTTGTCACTGAGAGCTCCTGTTGTTGTATGGTGGAAGCAATCCACACCAGCAGATAAATACACTGTGAAAGGGAAACGTGAGAAATGCACTTGAAATTCATAGAGAGATTCTCTCATGTCTTCATTTACATCAATATTATTCAAAGTTTTAGTAACCAAAGAATTGGAAGTGAAAAGGAGAGAAGAGAAGATTTAACATAGATACTGTATATATTACTGTAACAAAAGAAGAAATGAAAGAGATCAAATTCCTATCACATATAAAAGCCGCAGGGGGAAATCTTTTGTGAAATTGCTCTTAGAAATTTGATTCATTTTCAATACTCTTTCCCTTTATACATAGTGTCTCCATGTTTGTTCATGAATTCATTCTGAACTTTGTTGAATTCAAGCACATTTCTTTTTACATGGTGTTTATCTTTTAATGTGCATTGCCATCTTTGGTCGTTTTAAACCACCATGTCTGAATCAGATGTTGAATTTTTACTTCTGTTTAACATTAATTACATTCAAAGAACAAATCAGAGCTTTTAAGCAACCCTTTTAAATATGACATAAACCAAAATTTGTCAAATTATCTAAGGACAAATATATAATACTTTTTGATAGCGTTTTAACAGCTAAATTTAAATGCCTTGAATTGATGTCACATTAATAATTTATCACCTCCTGATGAACCTTGCCACCTGTCAGACATCTTTACACAATTGTGAATCTCCTGAATATCTGAAGACGGAGGTGATGGCAGAACAAAAAAAAAATATTTAAGTGTGGGCTAAGAACTTTTCAAAACTTTTACAGATTGTTTCATAGTTATGGAAAGTGACAGGAAAGTAGGATTAAAGGTTGGTTAGTAGGAAAAAAATACCCCAGGAAAATCCATTAGTTATACACGAGGAAAATCTTAGGGTGCTTTCCCAGAGATTTAGATCGACCTAACTCCCTGGGAGTTCACGCTAAATTGCAGTCAGCTGAGCGGACACCATAGTTAATTACCCCCTTACAGCTTTTAGTAGGCGGGACATACGCTTAAGCCGGCCAAGCTGACAGTAATCTAGTGAGACTCCCCACAGGGATAGATCGATCTAAAAATCTATGGAAATGGGGTGTTATACTGGACACCTTTAAACATTTTTAACATGTCATATTTGAGTCACGTTAACAATGTATTACCACCACACTCCCCACTGCAGGACATACAAAAATCTCCAAGACAAATTATTCATTTAATTCTCAATGCTGAGTTTCAGTAATGCCATCATCTTGTCTAGAACTGAAGACCAAACCAAGTTCCACGTGAAGTTTGTAAAGACTTGCCATTAACGAGAACAGCTCATTCACTGAAACATTAGACTTCTTTCCTGGAAATAAAGACCATCAGCTGAACCATATAATGTGAAAAGAGTCTATCATTTTCGATTTCCAAGAAATTACAGACTTTATTTTCTTATTATAATTTGATAAATGGATTTTTGTCTTTATAGCAGTGCTATTGGTGACCAAGTAATTGACTAGAGAAATGGTTAATTAAATGATTTCTCTCCCAGAGGTAGGGAGTTAATACTGAGTCACTGATTAATGAAAGATTGATTCTCCATGAGACACTGACATATGCCATAGATGACTCCTGGGTCAAGGTATTGTTTTTTAGAACAAGAGGGGAGGCTCAGATTTATTGTTATCACAGTAGCAGGCCACTTAAGAAGAGCTCTCATCCTAGTGCTTTGGTGTACCTTTCACCATGAGATTTATCTTTCACTTTCACTATTTTTCTATGTCAATTTTTTTATACGCAATAGGTGATACTGAGTTAGAAATTAAGTTATGTTTTGTAACATAAATTTTTCATTCATGTATTAAATTTTTAGTCATATTTTTGAATCTCTAATTCTTTAATTTAAAAAAATGCATTAATAACCAGTTGATAAAAGAAAGGTATACTCATGGTGAATATTGTATAGTTTTGAGAGCACTTGATTATGCACAGCAACTCTGTGATAAAATTGATTCTATAATGTATTGATAATTTGATCTATTCTTCAACCAATTCACATATATCTTTTTGATTTGGCCGGCATTTTCCAAATAATCGTAACATTTTCCATGTTACAGCTTCAACTGTACCTGTTATTTTGCATATATCCACATACAGCATTGAATTTCTCACATTTCTTGAGGTTATGATTGTTAATTTGCTCAGTCAACAGCTGTGGTTAAGACAGCTCTAAGGTGGCTGCTGTGTGATTGCTTAGCTTATGTAAGTAACACCTGTGACCCCTGTTTTATCAGGTCCTTGGGGGAAGGGATTTTTTTTTGGGGGGGGGGACTTGTGGTAACAATGTGGATGAATAATTTGTCAATTGCCCAAGATATATGTGATTTTTGCTTATAAAGAGTGTGAACAACATTTATGCTTTGAAAAACTTCAGTTGATTTTATAAAGTTTGCTATGTCTTAACCTTCCAAAAAGTAAGCTCTGGTGATCTTCAGGTGCAATGGAAAGGGACTTAAAGGGAATGGGAGGGTGCAGGTAAGAATTTACTCATGATGGAATGAAGAGATGAACTGATTTCTTGTTTCTTCAATTTTTCATTGACTTTTATTTATTTATTTATTTATTTATTTATTTATTTATTTATTTATTTATTTGTTTATTTAGTTAAGGTTAGGGATTTTCAGCTATGAATAAATATATGGCCTGAAATATCAGTCTGATTCTAGATAGAGTAAATACATACTTTATAGTCTAAAATGTGTTTCACTGCTCCTGTTGGCTGTGAACAGGTGGCCTGATTAATAACTTCATAACATCACTTGAAGCCCTATGGTAGAAGAGTTTTTTTTTCTGATAATTCTAAATCTTACAGAAAAAATAATTACCTGAGTTTTGTGTGAAGCTTTGAAGCCATGCTTATTGATCCTCAGTGGTCAAGTTATAATAGAAGCCATTTTTTTTCAAAGGCTAATTATGAAGATATGTGTTCAATAATTTGCAATGCTAAACATGTCATTTGTGTCTCCTTTTGACATACAGAATAGAAAACGTCCATTAACCCCAGGTGGGTGTGCTTCAGGAACAGTAGTTGGGCATGCACCTTGGAATCAGTTCAGTACCCATTCAGAACATCAGAAAAGGCTTTAGAAAGGCATTCAAAAATAAATTGGTGAAGTATAACTTCCACCAGTGACCAGATAACATAAAAGTGCATTGAGAACAAGTTGAGCTGCGGACTAAGGCCACATTCAGAATGGTACACACTGATCTGCCGACTAAATATGGCCGACCACAGTTCAAAAGTAGGGTTGGAAAGTAGTGCATCTCATCTCAAAATGTGTACCGGGTATGATATGTGAAATGCGCACTGACGCACACCTTGAAAAGCGGTAGTGTGGTCCGATCTACGGGTAAATTCGGGATCATTCGGTGCCGAGTCTGGTAGTTGGGTAGGCCTGTGTACTATACATAGAGTACATTTTGTAAAATAGGCACTGAGGACAGAGAAAAAGATTGATTTAGAAGCCAAAATAAGATAAAAACCATTAAATTTCTTTCGCATCAGTTCCTAGTGATTAGTTCACCCACCCCCATTGTCACTTTATCGGTGGAAATCTCTATGCAAACTTGGCCATCAATAGAGAGACCCAGGGGCAATACCTTAAGTCATAATTGCCTTGTGTGATTATTGATGTCTGCCCTGCAGTGGCATTTAGGGGTATTGATGAGGAATTTTCTGGTTAGTATATGTTTCTCTAAGTAACAATTGGAGCAGGTACAGGGTAATAAAATAGGTAACTGCACATGATTTATTATTTATGAAAATTAACTCATCACTTCTGACAGTATTGATATGAAATGGTTGCAGTGGGCGTGTAATTTAAGAAGTCCATAGAACATGAGAAAAATAATAAACTTGAGAATGTCTAGTCAACACTTGAAGATAGAGAAAGTTGCAACTGAAATATGCTCTAGATCTTGAACACAATGAAAATATTAGAATTTACAAGGACGTGCAACTTTGACATTTCAGTACAACGCTGCCTGATATAAGATATCAATAATAAAAAGAAAAAAGGAATAGACTACTAGTACCTTCTTAATTTATTTTGAACAGAAATGAAATCCTTAAGGATACGAAAATTGAATTAAAATGGAGGCAATATTATCAAGAGAAGGGGACCACTTAAAGATCAATTTCCGCCCTGACTCACAGTTAAATGATTTTAATGAGAAACAGGTGAATCCACATGTACCCTCAGAAGTTTTTGTTTCAAGGGTCACAGTGTCTCTAAACATTGGAAACTTCTTGAAAAAATGAAATGTCTCTTCAAAGAATATCATGTAGCAAAGTACATTTCAGTTTTTGATTAAAATGGTACTGTAACGTGTGGGTGACTGAAATTTAAAAAAGGAAGAAAGAAAAAACAAAAAGAAAACAGAATCTGGCTCAACCAAAGGGGAAATTGCACTTGTACGATCTTAATTTTAATTTACCACCCCACCCCAACTAAAAGAAGGCAAAAAAGGTAAGAATGGGCATTCATTCATTTCTGTGCCTGGTACATTTATAACTGTATGTGTAAGTGTTCTTCTTGTATAATTTCAGTACATAGGAACCCTGGACGTTCCCCGTCCCAGCAGCAGGGTGGAGATAGTGGCCGCAATGAGGAGAATTAGGGTGAGTAATTGGAAGTTAAACAAAACCTAAAGAGCAAAAAAACATGATGAGTAATATTACTAAAACTTTGCCAAGTTTTTTTGCCAAGTGCATGATATCCCATCATGCTAAAACTTTTCCCATGTTCACACATATCTATGAGATGTGTTCAGCACTGTATTTGATCAATTCTTTTAAGACTGGCCCCAGAAAATAGCTCGATTTGCATTACTAAGTCAACCACTATTTTCACTGACTGCTAAACTCTGGGATCATAGCATGCATATGGTACGAAGGGGGGGCGGGGGGGGGGTGTAAATATTTTGCTTCCTAGAATTAGTTTAAATTTGTTTTCTTATCTAAGCTGAGTGCTCCTTCACAATTCTAAGATGAAAAAACACTTGTCCCACAGACTAATAGCGTATGGGATGATGAGAAATTTGATGTACACATTTGCCAAATAGCCCATTTATGCCAATGTGTGCAATTGTTAGAGTGATATTCCTCCAAATAACAGTAATCATCCGGTGAAGTGACTATTGTAATCTGCCTCTAAATTATAGCAATAAGCAAGAAAAGTGAATTCAGCACACCATATTTATGTATCATAATTTGCTACATAAAGACATAATTTTCTCTTCAACAAATATGCTATGTGATTTTGTGGGTATAGTAAATGGAAGTTTAACTGGGCCACATAACTTGAAAGCATCGCGCATTGCAACCAAGCGCAAGAGTCTCGATTCCATAACTCACCCACACGCCTCCAAATGGGGGTTATGGAATCGAGACTCTTGCACTCGCATGCAATGCGCAGTGCTTTTGAGTAACAGGCCCTGGTTAACAAGCCTTCCTGTCAGACAGACGGCTAGGAGCTAGAGCTGATCTCCTTGATGTGAAGAGCAAGAACAGGGTCTTGTAGTTCTGTGCATGTTGTTGTTGCCATGGGTAAGGATGGCAGGAAATTCAGTTATGTTCTTGCAAATTCCCTCCTACCAGTGCCAAATGTCTCTTAATAAATATTGGCAAAAAGAGATTGATTTTCTTTTCAGATTTGTCCCCATTTTATTATTATTGAACATTTAAGTATTTGGTTAAAGACAACAAAAATGTGATGTGATTGACCCCAGATATTTGATATCAAAATTGACCTTTGTTAGGTAGATTGAAGTTTTGTTTGCACATGAGCAACAGTTAGTATAGTTTTATCCTTGTCATGGCTGATTCATTTTTAGAAAAATTCCAAGTAGTTTTCATTTTCGTTGATCAAGTGTGTTGCGTCATTGCTGTCCAAACAGAACATCTATGGATGTTAACACTGAATTCATTTCTTGAATAAGGCTCTATTCCCATAGATTTTAGATCGATCTATCCCCGCGGGGAGTCTCACTAGATTACTTTCAGATAATCCGACTTAAATGTCCGTCCCGCCTACNAAGACAACAAAAATGTGATGTGATTGACCCCAGATATTTGATATCAAAATTGACCTTTGTTAGGTAGATTGAAGTTTTGTTTGCACATGAGCAACAGTTAGTATAGTTTTATCCTTGTCATGGCTGATTCATTTTTAGAAAAATTCCAAGTAGTTTTCATTTTCGTTGATCAAGTGTGTTGCGTCATTGCTGTCCAAACAGAACATCTATGGATGTTAACACTGAATTCATTTCTTGAATAAGGCTCTATTCCCATAGATTTTAGATCGATCTATCCCCGCGGGGAGTCTCACTAGATTACTTTCAGATAATCCGACTTAAATGTCCGTCCCGCCTACTACAAGCTTTAAGGGGGTAATTAACTTTCGTGTCTGCCCGGCTGACAGCTATTTAGCGTGAACCCCCAGGGAGTTAGGTCGATCTAAAGTAGGTCGATCTAATCTATGGAAATGGGGTGTATGAGTACAAAACCAGAACAGCACATAATGTCTTTGTAGTATGACCGGTTCCACAGGTTGACCACAGTCCAGTATTGTGGTGACATTCCTTGTGGGCAACTAGGATGACAGGTCACTGAATGGCTGCATGCCAGCTTGACCTTTCTCCTCATCAAGTTGACCAGAGGGGGTGCATTTACATGGCTTTCTCTTTACACTGGTTCTGAATCTGTATTCTTCTTCAGTTCCTTTAAGATGAAAACAGATGTTTGTGAAAATCACTTGACCTTTAAGGTTTCTAATTTACAGTAAGGCTCTTTTCATTTAACTAAAACAAAATGCTCAAGACTGGTCCTAATGTAGCTAGGATTTTGCTCCCTTTCACAAGCTTGCTTCCACCTGTTTGGAGCAATGAAATTTTGAATATGAATTCAGTTTCAGATGGTGTGGGGGGGTGGGGGTCCGGTTAGGTGACTGTCTTACATCATAGCCAGGCTATCAAAGATGTCAGTCATTAAAAGTGTGCTGGCGTAACATGAAAATCTGACTCCCCCTGGGCCCATGAAATCTTGACTTCCAAAGGGGCTGACCCTAACCCTAACCTGCTAACTAACAAAAAAGGGCCAATGTATCCTCTGTTATGCATACTGCAAGATAAAGTCATACATTAAAATATACTAATATTTATGAAGTTTTGTGGGGGGAGTCATATTTTCATAATGAAAATCTGACTGGGAAGTCGTCTTTTAGGGAAGTCAGATTTTTATGGCACACGGGTACAGACTGGAGCGTTCAAGTGCACTCTATAGCAAAGCTCATATGTGGAACAAGAGCTGACCTAGCCCAAGTCCTGTGAATTGTTCTTCGTGTTGGTCACTAGTAACTATGCATAACCAAGTGCTGTTGATTTTAGGCCATTGGTTTCTCTTGTCAGATCAGTTTTTATAGCCCCATTATGAGCAGAGAATATTGACTGAAGCTTGTTTTGTGTCAAAACTATCCACAGCTCTGAATGGTTTATTCAAGTGTCTGTTGGCCGTAGGGCTGGGTCTGTGGAATGTTCAAGCGTGAATCAGTTACTACTGCAATACTGATCAACTTTGAAGCCATGGCAGTGGCTATGCCCTGGTTTCTGAAGCAGGCTTGTTTTGTAGTGCAGGGTGTGACTACATACAGGCTGTCCACTGTTTGTAAACTATGGGTGCTTTCCCAGAGATTTAGATCAATCTCAAGATTAAGTTTTAGATCGACCTAAGTCCCTGGGGGTACACGCTAAATTGCAGTCAGCAGAGCGGGCACCATAGTTAATTACCCCCTTACAGCTTTTAGTAGGCGGGACAGATGCTTAAGCCGACCAAGCTGACAGTAATCTAGTGAGACTCCCCACAGGGATAGATCGATCTAAAAATCTATGGAAATGGGGTGTATGCTTTGCCATCTGAAACTGGGAATAAGTGGGTGTTGGTGGCAGAAGAAGGAGGAAGGGCATTGAATGACGGAAAGGCACACACTAGTACACAACTGTCCATGCAGAAAGTCAGAAACTCTACTTCTTTTGATGTCCACTAAAACAGGTTAAAAATTGCAATTTTTACAAATTCTCATAAAATGTACTTGGTGTTGATTATACACGTTTAAAAAGTGTACAAGATAGGCTTTCTGTTTCTACACAGTACACAGTAATTCCCAACAAAATGACAAAAATTTTGAGGTAGTATCAACATTTTTTATTTATCATTCAGAAATTTAATTTTTGTTTCCTAACACTACCTTCCAATGTACCAGGCCCTCCTATTACTTCTATTACATCTCTGCAAACTTGTTGAATGTTCAATGAAAATTTTATTAACATTTACTATGTTTTTTCCTCATAATTATTTATCTTATTTTGAATATGATTTTAAAAAACTAGTAAACAAAATGTAATAATTAATATCATCATTAAATAGTGATAGAAGTAAAAAAGATCACACACGTTCACTTTTCAATCTTTTGATGTTTTTTCATCAATATTTGCAATATCTGTTGCTATGTGAGAATATTTAAACCACATTTTCTGGGACATCAATTGTTTCTCTTTATCAAATTTGGCATCAAAATGCAGTTGTACTAGGATTGTGAACATTACCGAAAACTGACAGATAGAGGCAGATCTCACTTCCAGTGTAATTTGCTGAAACTAAAAAAAAAACTTAAAGACACCCCAGAGACTTGAATGAAAAGGTCAGAAAAGGTCAGCTGATATGGAAACTCTTGATCTAAGCTATGTACCTGCTTCTAGTCATGCACTACATCAAAGAAGATTTTAGAGGCAGGTTGCCCTGAGAAATAGTTCCCTGATTGAAATGTAATCAAATAAATATTACAGTCATTATTTTAATGATTGTCCAACTCAAGTAAGTCTGACAGGAATATCGAAATTCAGCCTTCAGCTCATAACTACCTCATTAACTTCACCCCTGTAGTTAGAAAGAAGCTCCGTAGCCTTGTGGGGTTTTGGAGTTGAAGTTTTATGCACCAGAATTTGGCACTTCACAGTTTTACTTACATGTGTGAATAATAATAATAATAATTGCAATTTATTATTATTATTATTATTATTATTATTATTATTATTATTATTATTATTATTATTATTATAAATTTCTTTCTTGGAGAGTTGTAATGTTCTCTACAATTCTCATAAAAATTATTTTACGAGTGATGATACTGAAACAACAACACAGGAAATAGCATCAGAAAATTCTTCAGCTCATTCAGCCATTTAATATTTATAGAGTTATATACAGTTTTATAAAGGAAATCGACAAGAGGCCATTAATTCCAAATCTGAGATATAACAACTAAGGTGATAAAGGATGTAGACACTATCACCTGCCTCCCTTGTGTCTAGATAATTTATGGCCAGTTTCTTTTAGGTTGAATAACCAAACCATCTGATAATTCACCTGATTGGATAGTAAGGCTCTGTACCTCTATTTGCCTTGATCTGTACTAGTTAAGATCATCAGACAACTAGATTTTGTAAGAGGCATTTCTGTTTAATTTAGGTATGGGCAATCATTAGGTCCTTTTGATTATACTTCACTCACCAACAGTAGATATCTTTCTGATATTACTCTGCCTCCCCCCCCCCCACCCACACACA